ACAAGGAACGTCTCACCTCTGTGCTCATCAACAAGGGTTCCTCCACAAATTACAAGGAATGTCTCAGCTCTGTGCTCATCAACAAGGGTTCCTCCACCAACTACAAGGAACATCTCAGCTCTGTGCTCACCAACAATAGTCCCTCCACCAACTACAAGGAACGTCTCACCTCTGTGCTCACCAACAAAGGTCCCTCCACCAACTACAAGAAACTTCTCATCTCTGTGCTTATCAACAAGGGTCCCTCCACCAACTACAAGGAACGTCTCACCTCTGTGCTTATCAACAAGGGTCCCTCCACCAACTACAAGGAATGTCTCACCTCTGTGCTTATCAACAAGGGTCCCTCCACCAACTACAAGGAACGTCTCACCTCTGTGCTTATCAACAAGGGTCCCTCCACCAACTACAAGGAACGTCTTACCTCTGTGCTCACCAACAAGGGTTCCTCTACCAACTACAAGGAACGGCTCACCTCTGTGCTCGCCAACAAGGGTTCCTCCACAAACTACAAGGAATGTCTCACCTCTGTGCTCGCCAACAAGGGTTCCTCCACCAACTACAAGGAACGACTTACCTCTGTGCTCATCAACAAGGTTTCCTCCACCAACTACAAGGAACGTTTCACCTCTGTGCTCATCAACAAGGGTTCCTCCACCAACTACAAGGAACGTCTCACCTCTGTGCTCGCCAACAAGGGTTCCTCCACCAACTACAAGGAACGTCTCACCTCTGTGCTCGCCAACAAGGGTTCCTCCACCAACTACAAGGAACGTCTCACCTCTGTGCTCGCCAACAAGGGTTCCTCCACAAATTACAAGGAACATCTCAGCTCTGTGCTCACCAACAAGGGTTCCTCCACCAACTACAAGGAACGTCTCACCTCTGTGCTTATCAACAAGGGTCCCTCCACCAACTACAAGGAACGACTTACCTCTGTGCTCATCAACAAGGTTTCCTCTACCAACTACAAGGAACGTTTCACCTCTGTGCTCATCAACAAGGGTTCCTCCACCAACTACAAGGAACGTCTCACCTCTGTGCTCGCCAACAAGGGTTCCTCCACCGACTACAAGGAACTTCTCACCTCTGTGCTCGCCAACAAGGGTTCCTCCACCAACTACAAGGAACGTCTCACCTCTGTGCTCACCAACAATGGTCCCTCCACCAACTACAAGGAACATCTCAGCTCTGTGCTCACCAACAATGGTCCCTCCACCAACTACAAGGAACGTCTCACCTCTGTGCTCACCAACAATGGTCCCTCCACCAACTACAAGAAACTTCTCACCTCTGTGCTCACCAACAATGGTCCCTCCACCAAGTACAAGAAACTTCTCACCTCTGTGCTCGCCAAAAAGGGTTCCTCCACCAACTACAAGGAACGTCTCACCTCTGTGTTTATCAACAAGGGTTCCTCCACCAACTACAAGGAACGTCTCACCTCTGTGCTTATCAACAAGGGTTCCTCCACCAACTACAAGGAACGTCTCACCTCTGTGCTCGCCAACAAGGGTCCCTCCACCAACTACAGGGAACGTCTCACCTCTGTGCTCGCCAACAAGGGTTCCTCCACCAACTACAATGAACGTCTCACCTCTGTGCTCGCCAACAAGGGTTCCTCCACAAACTACAAGGAATGTCTCACCTCTGTGCTCGCCAACAAGGGTTCCTCCACCAACTACAAGGAACGACTTACCTCTGTGCTCGCCAACAAGGGTCCCTCCACCAACTACAGGGAACGTCTCACCTCTGTGCTCGCCAACAAGGGTTCCTCTACCAACTACAAGGAACGGCTCACCTCTGTGCTCGCCAACAAGGGTCCCTCCACCAACTAGAATGAACGTCTCAGCTCTGTGCTCGCCAACAAGGGTCCCTCCACCAACTACAATGAACGTCTCACCTCTGTGCTCGCCAACAAGGGTTCCTCCACCAACTTCTAAGTCATGTGTTGCTCGGGGATCAAATATTATTTTACTCCCTGAATTGCAACTCCATTTATAACATTTGTATCGTGTTGTTTCAGGATTTTCGGTTGATATTCTGTCTCTGTCATTTATAATACACGTATGATAATTATAGACCGATCATTTCTGTGTAAGTGGGCGATCGTACACATTCTCTGGGGGATTGAATCATTTATTTTCCCCGCTGTTCTAGTCCCAATATATAAAGTGTGAACATGCTTTCTATTAAATGTCCCAAACCAACCCAATTACACTTCCTCACGCAGTCCAGTGTGGGACTAATATATTGTTTCTCATTTCTGGATTTATTGTGCGCAGTGGGAAGCGTCGTATCTTTGTTTATTATTTGATTCCACACAGTGTTAACACACTTAAAGGGGCAGCTGCACTTTTTCTAAATATCAAGGTGGTTTGTATTTTATTTGTTGTTTTTTTTTTACTTTTAATTTAAAGGAGCAGGCTCCTCCCATCAACAATCTTACCGATTCCCATGTGTTAGAATAGAAATGAAAGAAAGCATTAAACCCCCACCCTCCTCCTAACTACGGATCCTTTTCTAGTGACAGGGCCTCTTTAAGTAGCCACTGAGGATCATCTGAGTACAAAAGAGTACCTGAGTATTGTTTTTTTCTTCATGTGAACCCAATATGTAGACTTGATATATTCTAACACAAAAAAGAACTTCTCGGGCGCTAACATGGAATAAAATATAAAACAAAACTATTTCCTCTTATCTCATACAGCAACACGCGTGACGTCACACTGCCTAACCTATTGGTGTGACGTCACATGTGCTGTATGAGATAAAAGGAAATAGTTATGTTTTATATATGAAGAAGGTTGCATGATGACGTCACATTACAGCATGTGTGGTATTCAGGGCTTTTTTCTGTAATGCTTGGTTCTATTCTGTACAGTGGCCTGGGCACCACTTACTCCTGACCTCTGCACTCTCTGAATCACTTACTCCTGACCCCTGCACTCTCTGAATCACTTACTCCTGACCCCTGCACATCACTTTTTCTGATCCATCACTTACTCCTGACTCCTGCACACTCTGCATCACTTTTTCTTGATCGATTACACTCTCTACACATTACATATTCCTGACCCCTACACTCTGCATTACTTACACCTGTCCCCTACAGTCTCTGTATTACTTACTCCTGACCCCTACAGTCTCTGTATTACTTACTCCTGACCCCTACACTTTTTTCAGTAATTATTCCTGACCCTTACACAATGTATTATTTACTCTTAACCCATTACTGTACTCTCTCTTATTACATTTACTCCTGACCCCTGATCCCTACACTCTCTGACCCCTGATTACTTATTCCTGACCCTTACACACTGTACTTTACTTACCCCTGACCCCTACACTCTCTGGATTACAATTATTACTGACCCTTACATGCTGTTTTACATACTCAGGACCCCTGAACTCTAAGCATTACTTACTCTCTTGTCTCTTACCCCACACTGCATTACTCACTCCTGACCCCTAAACTCTCTCTGCACTACTTGATAAACTCTTGACCCCTGCACTCTCTGTATTACCCCTGGGACCCTTACACACTGCATTATTTACTCTTGACCCCTGCACTCTCTTTATTACTTACCCCTGACCCCTTTACACAATGCATTACTTATTCCTGACCCTTACACACTGTATTACTACTCCTGACCCCTAAAACTCTCTCCATGACTTACTCCTGACCCCTGAACTAAACTCTCCATGCATTACTTACTCCTGACCCCTAAACTCTCTGCATTACTTACTCCTGACCCCTACACTCTCTGCATTACTTACTCCTGACCCCTAAACTCTCTGCATTACTTACTCCTGACCCCTAAACTCTCTGCATTACTTACTCCTGACCCCTACACTCTCTGCATTACTTATTCCTGATCCTTACACACTGTATTACTCCTGACACCTGAACTCCATGACTTACTCCTGACCCCTGAACTCTCTGCATTACTTACTCCTGACCCCTGAACTCTTAACATTACTTACTTTTGACCCCTGCACTCTGTGTATTACTTACCTTTGACCCTTACACACTGCATTACTTACCCCTGACCCCTGCACTCTCTGTATTACTTGCTCCTGACCCCTACACACTGCATTACTTGATTCTGACCCCTGCAGTCTCTGCATTACTTACCCCTGACCCCTGCATTCTGTGCATTATGCACATCTGACCCCTGCATTCTCTGCGTTGTCCTTTACTCTGTGCATTACTTTAAGACCCTCCCACTTCTCTATTTTACCACACCCACCATTTGATGTAGCGAGCTTTTCCCTCACAGGAAAGGGGGGTGTTCGGGGGGTCGTGGTGGAATTTCTGCACCTTTTCTGTGAGGAAAGAAAAGCCCTGGTGGTATTGAAATCTGAAAAAGACCGAACACACCCTGGTGCAGTTACAACAATAAATAAATAAATCATATAAAGCTGTATAAAAATATTGACAACTTTTGCATCTGCAACACATGTGTGTAATAATAAAAAAAATAAATAAATAATCCAATAAATCAGATAAAATCAGATAAAATCACCACAGCAACAGCTCGTATCCGCAATCTCACCCACAAAAAAGTCATTACAGAGAGGAATTTATTACTAAATACACATAAAAACACTATATAAAAAGATCTTTTTATAAATATAAATAAATACAAATAAATATTAATGATGGCCACAGGGAACAGAACTATTCAAGATTTGCATAAAAAAAGTTTTTTTTTTATATATTTAAACAAAAAAATATATATTTATAAAAATATAATAACCCTTAACAAACTGTAAGAAGATCTTATTACATTCCATATAAAAAGATACATATACAGATACAGTATATACAGCACAAGTACACAGAAAATACATCATTTTTACATATTAACCCTTAATGAACCATAGGGGACCATACAGGATATCCATATCACTAAAATGCCAAAAACCCAAATTAAACACAACTGACTGAATAATATTCTGACAACTGTCTCATACACGATATTGCCCCAAGTATTGTCCCTGCCCTCCAAATCATGTGATTCAGGTGTTCCAATCCCCTCCATATCATGTGATTCAGGTGTTCCAATCCCCTCCATATCATATGATTCAGGTGTTTCAATCCCCTCCATATCATGTGATTCAGGTGTTCCAATCCCCTCCATATCATGTGATCCAGGTGTTCCAATCCCCTCCATATCATGTGATTCAGATGTTCCAATCCCCTCCATATCATGTGATTCAGGTGTTCCAATCCCCTCCCAGTCATGTGATTCAGGTGTTCCAATCCCCTCCCAATCATGTGATTCAGATGTTCCAATCCCCTCCATATCATGTGATTCAGGTGCTCCAATCCTCTCCATATCATGTGATTCAGGTGTTCCAATCCCCTCCATATCATGTGATTCGGGTTTTCCAATCCCCTCCATATCATGTGATTCAGGTGTTCCAATCCCCTCCCAATCATGTGATTCAGGGTGTTCCAATCCCCTCCATATCATGTGATTCAGTGTTCCAATCCCCTCCATATCATGTGATTCAGGTGCTCCAATCCCCTCCCAATCATGTGATTCAGGTGTTCCAATCCCCTCCATATCATGTGATTCAGGTGTTCCAATCCCCTCCATGGACACAGGTGTATACAATCAAGCCCCTAGACATGCAGACGGCTTCTACAAACATTGGTGAAAGAATGGGTCGCTCTCAGGAGCTCAGTGACTCCAAGCGTGGTCCCGTGATAGGTGGCCACCTGGGCAATAAGTCCATCCGTGACATTTCCTGGCTACTAAATATTCCACGCTCAACTGGTAGTGGGATTATAACAAAGTGGAAGCCACTGGGAACAACAGCCACTCAGCCACCAAGTGGTAGGCCACGTCACATGACAGGGCGGGGGGTCAGCGCATGCTGAAGCACACAGTGCGTAGAAGTCACCAACTGTCTGCAGAGTCAATAGCTAAAGACCTCCAAACTTGGTGTGGCCTTCAGATGAGCCCAACAACAGTGCGTAGAGAGCTCCATGGAATGGGTTTCCATGGCCGAGCAGCTGCATCCAAGCCTTCCATCACCAAGTGCAATGCAAAGCGGCGGATGCCGTGGTGTAAAGCACGCCGCAACTGGACTCTAGAGCAGGGGAGACGTGTTCTCTGGAGTGACCAATCACTCTTCTCTGTCTGGCAATCCGATGGACATGTCTGGGTTTGGAGGTTGCCAGGAGAATGGTACTTGCCTGACTGCATTGTGCCAGTGTAAAGTTTGGTGGAGGGGGGGTTATGGCGTGGGGTTGTCTTTCAGGGGTTGGGCTTGCCCCCTAGTTCTAGTGAAGGGAACATTTTGGACAATTTCATTCTCCCAACTTTGTGGGAAGAGTTTGGGGATGGCCCCTTCCTGTTCCAACATGACTGCCCACCAGTGCACAAAGCAAGGTCCATAAAGACATGGAGGAGCCAGTTTGGGGTGGAGGAACTTGACTGTCCTGCACAGAGTCCTGACCTCAACCCCATAGAACACCTTTGGGGGATGAATGAGCGGAGACTGCGAGCCAGGCCTCCTCCCCCGACATCAGTGCCTGACCTGACAAATGTGCTTCTGGAAGAATGGTCCAACCTTCCCATAGACACCCTCCTAAACCTTGTGGACGGCCTTCCCAGAAGAGTTGAAGCTGTTATAGCTGCAAAGGGCGGGGCCAACTCAATATTGAACCCTACGGACTAAGACTGGGGGGCCATTAAAGATCATGTGTGTGGAAAGGGCGGGGCCAACTCAATATTGAACCCTACGGACTAAGACTGGGGGGTCCATTAAAGATCATGTGTGTGGGAAGGGCGGGGCCAACTCAATATTGAACCCTATGGACTAAGACTGGGGGGCCATTAAAGATCATGTGTGTGGGAAGGGCGGGGCCAACTCAATATTGAACCCTACGGACTAAGACTGGGGGTCCATTAAAGGTCATGTGTGTGGAAAGGGCGGGGGCCAACTCAATATTGAACCCTACGGACTAAGACGGGGGGGGCCATTAAAGGTCATGTGTGGGGGAAGGGCAGGGCCAACTCAATATTGAACCCTAAGGACTAAGACAGGGGGGGGCCATTATAGGTCATGTGTGTGGAAAGGGCGGGGCCAACTCAATATTGAACCCTACGGATTAAGACTGGGAGGCCATTAAAGGTCATGTGTGTGGAAAGGCCGGTGGCCTAATACTGCGGGCCATATAGTGTATGAGCCCCGCGATTGGCGGATATCCATCTGTAAACGATACATTTTCAGCTTTTGGAATAAAGGAATCATCCAGGACTATAGCAGTCCATAAGAGACAACACAGCTGACATTCAATGGACATTACAGTATAAATGGAAAATAAAAACCAGTGATGCCTGAAATTCTCTTGTTAATAATTTGGAATCTATTGTCTGTGTATCCCCAGGAGGGATAATAGAGGGAAGAGGGGGTGTTAGAAGGGGAGATGGGGGGGGGGGGAAAGGGGCTAGAGAGGAGAGGAGCGAGAGATAGGGTGATATAGAGAAATGGGAAGAAAAGAGAGAGAGGAAGAGGGATAGGGGGTATATGTGAGAAAGAGAGGGTGGGAGAGGGGGGAAGAGAGGAGAGACAGAGAGAGAGGGAGAGGGGGGAAGGGGGGGAGGGGAGGAGGGGGAGATATTGAGAGAGAGGGGAGATGGGGGGAGAGAGAGGTGCAGGAAAGGGGAGCAGGGACAGAGAGAGGGGAGCGAGGAGGAGGAATGAGAGCAATAAATAAAGGGACAGAGAGGTGAGGGGGAGGAGGGGGGCAGAGAGGGAGAGTGGGGGGGAGGGGAAGAGAAAGGGGAGAGACGGAGGGAGAGGGGTAGGAGGGGGTGTAGAAAGAAAGGGGGAGTGAGAGAAGGAGGGGGGAGAAGTGGAGGAGGAGAGAGACAGAGGGCGGACAGAGAGGAGAGGGGGGAGCGAGGGGGATAGAGGGAGGGGGAGTAACGGAGGGAAAGAGATTGAGAGAGAGATGGGAGGGGAGGCAGGGATAGAGAGAGGGGGAGGGACAGAGATGAGAGGAGGAGTGAGGGGGGGAGAGAGAGGAGAGAGAGAAGAGAGAGGACAAGAGGGTGGAGAGAGAGGGATATTGAGGGGGGGGGAGAAAGAGGAGGAGAAGGGGGGAGAAGGGGAGGGGGGGGGGGGGAAGAGTGAGGACAGGGGGGGGGGAGGGGGGAGAGAGAGGAAAGGGGGGGGAGGGGGGGGGGGGTGTGAGTAAATACATTTTGGGGAATCTGCAGTTCTCGTGGCCCTCACTGCGTTCCTCAGCTGCTCCGCAGGTAGATCCGCAGGATCTGGGATTCTCTACGACCTCTCGGCTTGATCTCTGCTGGCTGAACAGCTCAGAGGTCACAGACATCCCACACCTCCCTCTTAATATGCCATCATGCTCCTACATTTGCATAAAAGGCGGAGCACATCACTGCACAGGACAGTATGGCTCCTCCCAGTCCCATCCCACGTTCTCTCTTCTCATTTGATTGACAGCTACAATTAGTGAAACAAGTAACAAGGGGCGGATAAGAGAGCAGATCAGGGAGCTTCCTGTAGAGGGCAGCACCCCTTCCCCTCCTCCCACCGATACTGACCACACCGAAGTGACTGGACTTGACATATAGATTAGTGTTTCTCAACCTTTTTTCAGTCAATGCACCCTTTAAAATGATAGACAGTCCTGAGGCGCCCATTCCAAAATGAGAAAAAAAGATTCTAATAATTTTATATGACACAGCAACATCCACACACGTAGGACATATATTATTTATTAGAGGGGATTTATCCTTCCATTGCAAATACACTTTTGTACACTGGTACTGACTAGTATTCCACTGTTTCTCCTCTCCACAGTTTTTCTCCATCAAAAAGCTAGTGTAACCCCAGCGCTGATGGAGAGGGGCGGGGGAGGGTCAAACTAGGATGCTGTGCAGGTAGCTGACATCCTCCTCATCAACTGATGTGTTATTGGTTGGGGTTGTTAGGACGCCAGCGGTTAGAAGGCCTTTTATGGTGCACAATGAAAGCCCGTGGCTTTGTGTAACTAAAAGGCCGGCTTGTTCCACCCACTGGCTTGTATACAATTTTTGGGCAATTTTTAGACATTTTTCTAAGGCATCCCTGAAGAAACCTCAAGGCACCCCAGAGTGCCTGGGCACCACTGAAGAAACCTCAAGGCACCCCAGAGTGCCTGGGCACCCCTGAAGAAACGTCTCAAGGTACCCCTGAAGAAACCTCAAGGCACCCAGAGGGCCTGGGCACCCCTGAAGAAGAACCTCAAGGCACCCCCTGAAGAAACCTCAAGGCATCCTTGAAGAAACCTGAAGGCACCCCTGAAGAAACCTGAAGGCACCCCAGAGTGCCTGGGCACCCTGTAAGAAACCTGAGAGGCACCCCTGAAGACACCCCTCAAGGCACCCCAGAGTGCCTGGGCACCTCTGAAGAAACCTCAAGGTACCCCTGAAGAAACCTCAAGGTAACCCTAGCACCCCCAGATGGTCTGGAGTGCCTGGGCACCGCTGAAGAAACCTCAAGGCACCCCTGAAGAAAACCTCAAGGCAACCTTGAAGAAGTTCAAGGCATCCCTGAAGAAACCTCAAGGCACCTAGAGTGCCTGGGCACCCCTGAAGAAACCTGAAGGCACCCCTGAAGAAAACCTCAAAGAACCCCTGAAGAAACCTCAAGGAACCCCTGAGGGAAACCTCAGGGCACCCCAGAGTGCCTGGGCACCTCTGAAGAAACCTCAAGGAACCCCTGAGGAAACCTCAGGGCACCCCAGAGTGCCTGGGCACCCTGGTTGAGAAAGGCTGATATAGACAACACGCTGGTGAAGTACAAGACAACAGATCTTCCCGTGTGCATGCACAATCTTTAACCGCCATTTTGGAGTTCATTTCCATAACAATACATACTTCCGTTCTGCAGGAAACTCTTCTCATTATGGGGATGCAGCATTTGTATCAGACCCTCAACTCTTCTCTCTACGTTACAACTCTCAGGCGGCAACCCTTCCTATCCAAATCTTCCGACGCGTAAAACGCCGCATGGAGGGGCTCGCTGAATTTGGCGGTGAAGGTGTACAGGTGTCTGATCCGATCGCCCAGCTCGTTAAAAAAGGCCAGCTGGCCATCTTCATACTCCAGATGTACCCGTAGGGGTTGGGTGTTGCTGGAGGGTTGTGGGGGTAACGTGAGGCTTTTGTTGTCATGCCACACCGAGTACGTGTTATTACATCTGCGCAGGCACCAAGATTCTTTATTATATCCAATGAAGGATGGTGTCACCTCTCCTGAGCATGCTGGCGTATGCCACCCCTATCCTCCAGTCTCCGGTCCTACTGCTCTCCACGTCCCAGTAATGTCGGCCCACCAGAAACCCTCTGGACACTTAAGACTTGGTTATACTGAAATCTGTGTGGCGTCATTGGCCGGTTCAGCGGTCTCATTGTCCAATATATGGTCTTCAGATCTTCAGAAATACTCATTTGGTTACCAGCCGTGTTCTCATCCAGAAATAAGTCTGAAGCCGCCGGGTGAGAATTGGCCGGGGTCAGCTGACCGATCTCCTTCAGGTTAAAGCTGGTCCCTGGTCCTGTCAACATGTCAGATACTCCGGAGCGCAATAATCCCGTAGCAGATATTGCATTGGATAACCCTTTCCTAATGGTCAGTGAGATCAGGTCTTCATCCAGGTCACCTATGTTATCCCTCTCTCGTTCTTTGTTGTCTTCCTCCTGGGAGGCACAGAAGTCAGATGTGTCCTTTTCCTGTAGGACGGTCACAGGGTCCGCCATGTTGCACATCTCCTCAATGTAGAAGATCTTAGCGCACAACTCGTTTCTTCTTGATGTCCAGCTCTTCAATCAGATGAGAGACCGAGAGTGAGATCTTCTCCTCCTGCCTGGAGATCTCGCCCAGGACTCTCTTCTCCAGATCTTGGAGCTGCCTCCTGATTTCCCTGAATGTGGTGGTGACCCTGACCATCAGACCAGCGGCCGCCTCTCGGACTCTTCTGCTGTGTGCTCTTGCAGTTTGTGGACCCTC